GCCTGTCCTCACTCCTGTGTGTTTACTGCACACACTGCACCACCTGTCCCCTCTCCAGTCTGCTCCCCTCCTGCACTCGGGTTCACTTCACCCCCACAGACCGCTGTTCAGCTCCTCCTTCAGTGACACCACGTGTAGTAAGAAGTCAGTTAACAAGGTACCTTTAAGTTTAACCTCAGTGCTAAAGGATCTAATAGCTAAAGAGTTAACTTGAATTTATCTTGGTTTTTTCTGAATTTATATTTATAACTTGATTATCAGGCAAAACGTTTACAAAAACATTCTTGTAAAGAGTGTAGAGGCAAGGCTTATTAAAATACAGGAATTAAGTTTTCTTCTCCCTTGCCATTCCCTCCCTCTCTTTCATCTCAGTGGTGCTTGATACGGAAGAGGCCAGTCCATTTGGTTAACAATTAAGGTTTTTCTAGAGGATAGAGTGTCCTGATAAGGAACAGCTCCCCAATTCCTGAGATTCTCCAGCAACCTTAATAATGTTCATTTCAGTGCCTAAAAGTCTGGGAGATTCCAAGGGAGTCTGATTCAAAGTTGTTTACAACTTTGAGGTCAGAGGGCATGGTTACTCATCACCAGCTAATCAGGAACTGGCTGGGCAGGTTAACCCCACGTGGGTCTCTGATGCCCATGAAACTTTCAACCAACGAGCGACCTGCGTGTCCTCCAGGTTAAAACAGGCAACACAGAGAGTTCCTCTAGGCACAGGCAAGGCAAGGTACAGAGGCACAGAAACCAGTTCCTCAGGGAACAGATCCGGAGGGCAGAACAGTTCCCAAGGGAACTGTTCCCAAGCACAGGACGTTCTCGCAGTGCATCTCCTGAAAATCTCCAACCAGGGTGTCTGAGTGCAGGACTTAACTTTTGTTCTAAGAGTCGAGAACGGAGGTAGCCAGCGCTAAACAAAGGATCCACCCGAGGTTAGCCCAGCAGCAAGCCTCGTGAACCCACCGCGAACGCTCACCTGATCAACAAGTGAACTACGGTTGGAACTGTGGACAGCTGAATCACTATTCAGAACTAGCGCTTCATCAGGAAGGAACCGGTCTTCTTCCTGACCTGCTGGGACCCACAGTCACCTTTCTCCTGCGCACAAACTCTTGCTTGTTAGCCAAAACTAACTAGCCAGTCTTCAGAGAGCATCAGCAGCGCACCACGTCGCAGGCAGCAACAGCAGCCTGGCACCGAGCCAGAGAGCGCCGATTGGACAGCCACAAGCCTGCCACTGTTTCTTTGTGCCTGCGGGAGATCTGAATCCCCAGAGATTGGATGAGTATTCAACTTCACTGCATTACAGCTCGAGAATTCAATTGTTATCCCAACCAGTTGATATCAATTTAATTCCTATGAGTGATGTACTTGCTTAAGTATCTAGTGTAGAAGTTGTCACCAAGTTCATTTACGAAACGGTCTAAATGAATTATATACTGAACGTATGTCCCTCTTAGTATGTGTAACTCTTTGTGATTGAATACATACCTGTTGTATTCTGCTAACCCTCACAATAAGATCTGTTATGTTTATATGCACATTCTATGTATTAATAAATGTATCCTCGTGTATTCGTACCTGTGTGTGTGCGTTGTTTGAGTTATCCCGCAAGGTTTGATTCTAATGCCATCAAAAGAATCATTTTGTGACTTACTGCCACAATTAATAATTGTCCCAGTAAATGCCCAAACCCCTACCTACATTACTGGTGCCTCGTGAGAGGATACTACAAGAGTGATTAAACTGTGTGTGTTATAATGGATTTTGAGTAGAGTAATTTCACAATAAGCCAGTGCAGGTTGTGCTCAGTGTCCCAGGTGTGTTATATCCTGGGTGTGTGTTATACCTCAGCTGTGTTACAGGTGAGCTCCAGTGTTCATGTTCAATACTCACTGGGTATGTGGAGCTGAGATCCCCAGTCTGGCTCAGGAAGAGCACTTCTCACCAGGCAGGAGAAGATGTTGGACTCCTGTTTGACTGGGATGTAGCTGCTGACACTGAGGAGCCCCTGACTGTCCGTGTCCACTGTGGGGGGCTGTGATGTCACCTCGTTTCCATCCCTGTCTGTCCAGATCACTGCAGGTTGAGGGAACCAGCCCTCTGATCTGCACAGCAGCTGGGCCTGATCTCCTCCAGGGGAGTGGAGAGACACTGAGGGCTGGGAGCCCAGGGCTGTGGGTTCGACACAACAGGAGATATTTCACAGCTGATAAAAGCACACTGGAGTAAATGTAGCTGTCTTAGTGCTTTGATTTCAGAACACATGCAGCAATGATAAAGACACGTTTGCAATCTACAGTTTAAAGTTGTTTCTTTGACAGGTTTTAAAGTTTTAAATTCAGCTTGTCCATTCAGAATTACCATTATCAACAAATTAACTGAAGTGTTCAAGTATGAAGTGTGTAACGTAAGGAATGTGGCTATGGAAAGTATTCACACACCTGGACTTTTTTATATTTTATTGTGTTACAATACGGTGTCATGATGTATTAGCTGGAAGTTTTTGCCATTGATCGACAGAAAACACTCTATATAAAGTGTCAAAGTGAAAACTAAATTCTATAAATCCTCCTAAATTTATTATAAATCTAAAATGGAAAATAACCGATTGCATAAGTATTCACCACTTTCGAGTCAATATTGGGTAGAGGCACGTTTAAGATTAAATCTTCCTCTTGGATAAGTTTCTACCAGCTTTGCACATTTGGACACTGCAATTTTTGTCCATTCGTCTTTGCAAAACTGCTCAGACTCCCTCAGGTTGGATGGGAAAAGTTGGTTAACAGCAGTTTTCAACTCCTGTCACGGACTCGTGATTGAATTGAGGTCCAGGTTTTGACTGGGCCACTCCAGAACATTGACTTTTCTTTTTAAACGACTCCAGTGTCTTTGGTTGTATGTTTTGGGTCACTGTCATACTGAAAGGTGAATCTGCTCTCAAGTCTCAGACTGCAGCAGGTTTTACTCCAGGATTTCCCTGGACTCTGCTGCATCCATTTTTCCTTCTGTGTTCACAAGTCTTCCAGGCCCTGATGCAGTGAAGCGTCTCTATAACATGATACTGCCTCCACCATGCTTCACAGAGGGGACAGTGTTCTCAGGAGCACAATATGTGCACTGTTACACTTGCACCAATCATAAAGCTGACCATTGAGGCCTGAAAGGTCTATTTTTGTACCATAGAATCTTCTTCAACTTGGTCTCAGAGTCTCCCACATGACTTCTGCCAAAGTATAGTCAAGGATCAATGTGTGTTTTTTGTCACTCTACCATGAAGCCCACATTTGTGAAGCACAGTGTCTCAGATCTCACCCATTGAAAACTGGAATTCCTTCATGGCCTCTTGGTGGCCTTCCTGACTATAACTCTTCTCTCCTGGGTACTCAGCTTTTGAGCCCACCCTGTTCTTCAGTTTCGGTGCTGTGCATATTTTCTACATTTCTTTATAATGGACTTTGCTTTGGGGGATATGTGCTTATACCTTTCCACTGATGGGTGCTTTTCAATAACCCTATCCCAGGCTCACTTTGAGAGTTCCTTTGCCTTCATAGTTTTTGTTGGGAGCTGTACTTATCAACTGTGGGACCTGTAGGTATACTGTATTTAGCCTGAACTCATGTGAAACACCCCAAATGCACACAGGTGAATTCTATTCAACAAAACATGTGACTTCTAAAGATGTTTCATTGCACCAGAGCCTATTACAGATACAGCCATTCAAAATGAGCGGCTTATACTGCGTTAAAACGAGGTGGGCTTGTCGCGGTATAACATGGGTTACCGTATAATACGGCATAATACCGCAAGTAAGATAATAGTATCTGGAATTTCTAATAAATAATAATAAAGCTCAACCTCTCATGTACAGTGTTTGAGCTGTCGCCATCTTTACCAAAGATATTACTAATAGTATTAATAATGAATGACCTTAGACAAGCTGTAAACACAAAGTATTACCCTGGTCCACATTCTTTGTAACTGTCTTTGTAAACTAAAATAGTTTATTTTTTCATTGACCGTCTTTGTAAATGAAAATACTTTATTTTTTCATTAACAAAAAGTAACACCACAGCATTTCGTTGATCCAATCATGCATTTGTTTCCAATCATGCAAAGTAATTCTTGAGAATCTCCGATTCACCATGCCTTTCACATGCTCATAAACGATATTAATTTAGGAACATAAACATGTTATATAAACTGTACTGTATATGGCTGGTCTCAGTACTTTAAAGAAAAAATACACAGCAGTATTCCATTTCTCCTTAAACATTTTAAGCATCAGAGTCTTACATGTGGTTATTTCAGAAACGTTTTTACATGCTCCTTGCTCCCTCTGATCATGTTACTGGATGTTTATACAGTATACAGTACTCTGTGAGAAAAGCGATAGTTTTAAGCTTTTCTGTGAATACGTTCGATACCGCAGTCAACAAGCACACTTTTAGAATTTGATTAATAGGGAATATAATATGGAATCGCTTATCTAAAGAAATGAATAACGATATAATTATATTCATGTACTGTGACACAAACAGCAGTATATACTGGACACATACAGTATCTATTGATCTGTGTGGCTGTTTCACAACCTGTCGTGTGACTGTGTTAGAGGCGTGATGGTTTAAGTGCCTGATTTACAAGTGAGAGGTCAGCTGTTCAAATCCAGCCGGCGCTACGAATTTTCTATGAAACAAACATTTCTTTGAAAAAATAAAATAGCAGTATTATGGACAATTAATTGACTTTTTTATATTTCACAACATGTTTGATATAAGTCATTTTTTAATAACAACGAATAGTCACCGTCTTTCTCTCTGAATCAGTCCAGTAGCAGGAACCTCTATCGTGTGGATCCCTTCAGATCTCCCTTCAGATTTAAAAGGTTATTAATAATATGTCGCATCTGCCCAGTTTAGCTGATCTTTTGCTGCCTACACATGCTTACACAGCTCCCTAGGTAAACTATCATACTTGACTGAGAAAGCCTTAGAGAACGTAACATTTTTATTATCAACAAATTGTAAATACGATGTTTACATTGGCGTTATTAATTTTTCACTTGAGTGTATGGAGGAGTGTCAGCTGTCAATGAGAGCAGACCCCCCCCTTAGGCTGGGCAAACGATTTTTTAAATTTTTAAAAAAGAAATAAAAAAATAGATATAATGATATAAACATTTACTGCAATACAATACTGCAACGTTTTGGCTGTGAATCCTTCTTCTTTGAGTGGATGCATCTGTACATGTGTCATTGTAAAAGGGGATACATTCTTATGTGAAGAAAGATGTGAAGACGGGGGTTTGTATTTAATCTTTTCTGTAGGGGGTTTAGACTTCCAAGTCACAAGCAGGGGTTTATGGCAGGAAAGGGGGTTAACTGATAAGGA